ATAGCATCAAAAAACGCCCACAGGAGGCAGCGCTTCGGTGACTTCAACGGGCGGGCCCACGCCGCGCCGCGTCGTCGACCTGGTAGCGATCGACCGTCGGGCCCAGCCGACACGCGTGCGGCGTCGCCAAGGCGGAGACGGGAACGCCACGCACGGGCCGATGCGTCATCTGGGCGAACAGACGCCGTCGCCCTCGCCCTCGCCCTCCCCACCGCCCCAGAAGCGAACGCACCCTGCGCTGCGCCGACCCGCCCCCGACGCACAGTGCGCCCAAAGAGGACAGAGGCGCGCGTGGCGGCAAAAAAATCGATGCGGAGAAAGCTTTAACCTGTTGCCTCCACGAGCGCAAGCTTTTTGTCTTGTTTTGGTTTGTTTTTACGAATGACGTGAGACAATAAGGGTTTGCGAGTTGAGAGTCTTGGATTTAAGTGATCAAATATTGAAATTTTTACCGGCAGCCTGTTGCAGCTATTGGAAAGTTCCATGAATGATGATAAACATATAAAATAAAACTATTTCGAGTTGGAAGTACACAAAAGATTCGTGGGACAAGGGATGTAATGTTTAGAAACTATTTCATTCCATATGTTGATGGAAATTACTTTTTTTTTAATTATTCGCGCATTTCGCATCGTGAAAATAAATAATGGAAGTAATTAGAAACTTTGAAAAACGATAATGAAAACAAGCTATTTTGTTGCTCTCGGGGATTTCATATCTGAAAATCTTCATTACTGCACTTAAAAGTTGGTTTGAAAAATGCTTTCTAGGCACAAATTTCCACTGCCAGAAGCATAGAAACACTTCAGAAACATGTTAATTGTTCATTATTATCAAAATAAATTAATACATTCACTCTCGTATCTCCAAAAACCATCGTAATCATCAAACTTCATGACAATTACCCTCAGGGTGCTAATTTGTAAAGCGTCAATCCTTTATCTAGTCGAAATCTTAAAAGTAAATCGGTTTCATTTTTTCACCCGGTTTGGAATGATTCGGTTCGCGATTATGTTTTGACAAACAGCGTAAAACGTAATATGGGAAATGGAACACATGTGGAATTCGTTCTACATTTCCGGTAATTCAAATAATTGTACGAGTTCGGGATATTGGATAAAGTTGGCAGATGAAACAAAAATCATCACTCTTATAGGATCCATCTGACGCAACATTTCAATGTGTTTTACGACAAAATACAGGTATAGCTTAACTTGACTCATTTAACTGGCATACACTTTACTACATAGTATTTACTAATTAAATACGCACATTTGACACATGTTCAATTTGAGAAGCAAGAGATCATATTGTATAATAGACAAGACCAAATATGTCGACGACGCGATGCTAACGGATTTATTTCTAACAACTTTATCCTGTTATTATTCTTCGATGACAGTTCAGAAAGTTTAAAAAATAAGAATTCACTTCAAATTATTTTATTTTTTAATTGTGCAGTAAATACCATTTCATCTGAAACTTCATCTTTTTCAAATTCATTTATTTTAGGTCGCTTTTCAACTCCTTGGTCATTTCACCTTATCTTTATTGAACGTGCCGTTTGCCAACAAAATGCTCGCATCGCGCCCAGTGTGCCCAACCTCTTCGCCCCCCTCGCCCACCGGTCGATCGAAGCCAAGCCACAGTGTCTGCGGCCGCCCGCGCCCCTGCGCTGCCAGGGCGAGGAGGAGACGACGCCACAGCGACGCCCCCGCCCCCCCCCCAACGCGCGAGCTTAGAATGCACCCTGCGCGGGTTAACGCTCGCGCCGCACCCGCGTCATGTCACTGTATCAAAAGGAGAAAGAGACGCGCGTCAATGAAGCGACTGGCTTAGCCCGGCTTTCGGTCGCGTGAAATATGTGCGGAATTCTGCTGCTTTGATGATGTGCATGACGGAGGTCGGCGGGGCGAGAGTAAATAAACTTCGTAGGAGTCTTTCTGTTCGCGGAAGAATACAACTTCACAAAACGTCCATATCGAACTTCAGTTCTAATCTCATTGACATCCGCGTTTTTTATAATATAACGAAGGAACTTCACTTCGCTCTACGCAAAAAACTTTCAATGTCAATTCTAAGTCTACGAAATCATCACAACAAATGTACTGTTCTTGAGACAGACGCTGCGATTTCGTATCAACACTTTCTGATTTAGAGATATCATTCTGAAACAATGTCGTAAAAATATTGTAAACATGCTGAAGCGTTTTATTCCAGAATTTTACCAATTAAGTTAATGAAATCTTGCCTCCACAGAAACACTTTAAAAAATTAGGTTTGTACATTTTACTTTCTGAGAAAGTCCACGTCTTCACCCTGTACAGAATGTCGTGTGCGTATATCTCGCGAAAACTGATCTTACTGACATCTATTACTGAATTTCAGTTTAATTCTAGTTGCCCTAAGCGTTTCTTTGTGTTATAATGAAAACCGGTCTCTTCTCTCCACGCTTGGCTTCCCTTGTCAATTGGACTTCCAAGAAACTATAACACGAAATGCATCGTTCTTTACAAAAACGCCAATTCAAAGATCTCTGCTGGAATGGGCAACAATAATGCAACAGCATTTCATCCTAGAATTAGCCAATTAAGTTAACGGAAACCCGCCTGGAAGGAAACAATAACAAAGCATGTTTGCATAGTTTAAAAGCGAAAGTTCTGGGAAGTTGGGGGGAGGGGTTTCGTACTGCAGCGTGTGTCGTGTACGGAGCCAGCGTCGGCAAATGCGATCATCGATTAAGATAGTCCGCGCTGCAAGGGTTGTTGCTGCTAGATTGCAACCCGCTGGGCGAAGATAAGCCACCCGCGGCCAACTTTTCCAATTTGCACAAATGCGCTGCTCTCCCTAGAGCCAGCCCTGCACGCGACGCAAGCTGCGGTACGCGCCCTCCGACGAAAGCATATCCATTCAGGGTACTCCGCGTGGGAGTGTGTCATTACGCTGCAAGTTTCACACTCAGCAGATAATGGTATTAAAACCAGATAATCATAAATATATCACACTTTTTTCGACTGAATCGTAACAAATCTGAAACTTCGAGCCATGGACTTTGGTACGAGTGAATTTTTTAAAACAATTCTTTCATAAAACTGGAAATAAAAATGCAAGTCGTGTGTTGTGAGAAAATTGGTAAGAAATAATATCTATTAATATTAAGTTTATATAAAATATACCTTGACTAAAATGAGAAAATTAATCAACAATGATGCAAGAACGTGGAAAGAAGTCATTGAATACACCGGGTATTGGAAGTTTACTTAACTACTCCCATTCCGCGTAGCAGCTGTCTCACAGAAGAAAAAAAGCCTTGGATGTGGATCCATTCAGGAATGGTACGGCATTTATGCACAGTCACCGCAGTCGATTCGAAACAAAGTTTTCCCTCTACCTCCTGCCTAAAAAGCGAGAGGTTCCTCACAAAACAAACATTATAAATGGTATTATTCCCACTTTCCCTCGTGTTTAACGATTCCCGCCTCTGCAACCCTCAGGGTTCTTCTGGAAGCTGAAAAGGCGAAGCCCCGGTGTTAAACGTAGGGAAGGCACCCCGGCGCCATCATTTCTTTAATGGCCATCGTTAGATTGTTTACTTAGGTCGGGCGTAGGAAGCTGCACTAGTAGGCCTACCTGCCACTGGAGGGGGAGTAACTGAGGAGAGAAGAACGCAAAAACGTGAGCTTCCCAAACAACACGGCCGGATGTGAAGCTCACAGGCACCTGGACGGAGAAATGCTATAGACACCTGCATTAGAGGAAATAAGATCCCCAAGATATTCTTTTCTTATTACCATCTCCCTAATGCAAAGAAGAAAATATCGCAGATTTCCTACCCCCGAAGACATAGTATGGCATCACGATCATCATTCTTTATCGCGCCCTAGTAAAGAGAGGACTGATATTTGGCAGATCTGCACGATTACGAATTTCTGGTTGAAGATTTAGATAATCATGAGGGAGCCGTTGTAGTTTGCCCATGTCTTTCACACCACAATCACAAGGCGAAAGTGCTTTATGCAATATTGCAACGAAAACCATTATAATAGGTAAAAATAGCTGGCCGCCTGTGCTATTCATTTTTGGCACTTTGAATCACGAAAACTAAAAATTATGATAGAGAAGTATAATAAAGGTGAAGTTGGAAGTGCATAATTAGGTGATATAAATGTAGTACTGTGAGGCCACCGTAAGATCAGATCAGACATAAGATTTACATCTCTACATTTTTAAAACTTCACTTTCTCGTCATTTCTTTCTTTCTCCACATGTTTACCCCCTACACTGCATACGGCATCAGACCATCAAGAGATTGTTCGAGAAACACATTCCACGTTTTTGTATTGTTAGACGGACTGCCGTATTTATTTCAATCTCTCGCAGCTAGCTGATGCGTCTGGAACTAGTAAATGCCTCGCCTTGAATTTGCTGCAGTCCTGCCCGACAGCCATCGCGAGAAAACTCGCCCCCGACATCCGCCCGTCGGCTCCGAGGCAGCGCGCGCTATTTGCCGAGGGCGTCTGCCCGGCGACGCTTCCGGGCGCGGAGGGGGCCGCTTCCGACCCCCCGACACGAACCACCACCGGCCGCCCTCGCACCGCGGAACGCGCTGGCTGGCGTCCAGCATATCGCGTTCGCGCGGGCGGATTTGGGCGTAACATATGTGCAGAGATGCGAAACATATGTGAAGCGATTTTTATGGAAAACAAACGAAATGAAAAAAAATATCAATTAGATAAATAGAATTGGGAACAAAGTAAACTAGATGCTAACATTATTAACGAATATATTACGTTTTACTCGTTCGTTAAAGTTGTTTTTTTTAATATGTCCAGTTATAATGATATTCATTTCTACGTCCAATTGGGCGAAAATAAGAAAACACTTTCCTAAAATGTATTCCCTCCTCTCCAAAAACAACGGCGACAACACAAACACAACAAATGCACAGTAAACAGAAATAAAAAAAATATAGTAAAGTCTGTTTTCAAAACCGCACGCACCTTGAGTCGTATTCCGGCGGTCACTCCTGGTTCATGCCCCGCGCGCCGTGCAGTGCAAGCGCACCTCTCCCCGCGTCGCCGCAGCCACACGCGAACGCCGAATCGGAGGCGAAGAGCAGCGAGGGGTGCTGTCGCTGCTGCTGGCTGCGTCCCCGACCGGCGCGCTCCCTGCTTGCAGTAACTGAGTTACTGTACCACACGGCCCCACGCGCACGACGACGGCCCGACGCAGACTGGCGGGCGCGCGCGCGCTCGCCCTCCCCGCGGCGGGCGATGGCGGCGGAGGCGGCGGCGGCGGAGCCGGAGAGCCCCTGCGCGCGCACGGCGCGAAGACGCATGCATCGGCGGCGCGCGCGCCCTGGGGCGACCCCCTGAGTGGACGGCGGAGTCTGGAGCACTGCGCCCAAGAACACGGACTACTACCTGGCGCCGGCGTTACGCAAGCGCACCTTCGCGACAAGCTTTTTTAATTATTTTTCTCTATTTTGGTGCTTTATTATTTTATTATTATTATTATTATTATTTATTTTATATAATTATTCATTATATTATTATTATTATTGTTATTTATTATTATTATTGGCTTGGCGACAATTTTTGTTTTGGGATACACTGGTGGGGAAAAACGTACAAAAATCACGTAGTGAAAATAGTGGGCAGAAATAGTTTGAGTTTTTTTATTAATTGTTCCTTTTAGACTATTATTATTATTCTTATTATTTATTATTCATTATTATTTATTATTATTATTATTATTATTATTACTATTATTATTAATCACTAGTAGAAGGAGCATTACAATGAATTTGATATTGCACTAGCTGAACGACAAAATCCCGAAATCTTCGACTTCCCTTATACTATGTGAAAGTCCATTTGTTTATATTTAATTTAATGACAGTGTCTGTTTATATGTTGACTATTTAACATTTTTTGTGATATGACTATTGTACTTACTTATTACTTCCAGACCGTCGGAAGGGATCGTAGATCGCACTCAAAAGCAGGATGGAATACAACGTGAACGAACAAATCCTGTTGTCATCAATCAATTTTTTTTTTTAATCTTGACTGGAATCATATTCCTTTCTCATTTCGAATTGTAACCCTTCCTGGCATTGTAGACTCCATTTCTAAAGAAATCCAAAGCGCGACAGTGCCTTTGTGCCGTCTTCGCTTGCAGTAATGTTTCCAGCTTGAGCGTGATCGGTGTCAGGAGAGAAAAGGGAAAATAATGGCGGAAAAGAGAAGCATAAGGCAAAATATTAAAAACTGGCATCCGAGGCTTTAAAAAAAGGCAAAATGAAATTATTATAAAAACAACTCCATAAGTACAGTTGAGTAATTCCAATTGTTAAAATTATTATAATCGTAACAGTAACAAAAGGGCCTTTTGCCAAACTTCCTGGCGCTAATCATAATCATTCATCATATACCTCTACGTCCGGTACCGAAATTCGCCATTGGAACGAATATACAACCGCAATAGGCGAGCCGGCAAAGGGACAAAACAGCCAATTTCACCGTGACCGAAGTCGAGAGTCGTTTCACATCCGTCTAACAGGGGCGGCTCCAGAGACAAATTTTGGAGAGGAAATTCAAAATGTTTTGTCGGGTGTGTCATACTACAGATTTTGTTAAAAATCGCAGGCTATACAATGCGATACGATTTTATTCGCTTTAATGATTATCTGAAAATATTTTTGCTTGACAGTTTCGCGACAACTTAAAATTAATAGTTACTCAATTATTTTACGAGGGGAAGTTTTTCTCATTTCCCTCCCGGTGGATTCGCGCCTACGTGTAGACAGAACGGTAGAACGTAAAGGATGACACTCAAAAGCTAATTCGGCTCGAAAACTTAAAATAAAGCAGAAATTTTCGTGAATGACGACAAATTTCAGAAAATTAGATGGTATTCATAAACCACAACATTGTCAATATTAAGAAAAAAATCCTATGAAAAATCTATGTGAATATTCACATCTAACAATCCTTCAAAGTCACTGTCTGTTTTCCATTTCTTTCTCAATTCAGGATATGGAGCGAGTAGCGACATAAAAAAATTGTGACACTGACATGAGCCCTCAACATGACCTATTACTTTTTCCCCTTCGTAATACATCGACTTACTGTCTTGATGCCCCTTTCAGCTTGTAACTTAAGATTGGCATTCACGGATCGCCTGCTGGACACTTCTAACTGGGAATACAGTTGGTCACATTTGCCTGCTTTCATTCGCTTAGTGTCTCCTCCATTCATTGACGTCTTAGGCAGCTGGATGTCGTGCAAAGTCGCGTTCTCGAATTGTCGTAAGGCGAGTGGGAAAAAGATTATGCGTTCTTGTGTCGGAGAAGTATTAGAGAATGCAGTTAACGTGTTTATTCTGCGTGTATAACGTATTTATTAACGTATTAATGTTTATTGTGCGTGTACGTAACGTATTTAACGTGTTATTTAATGCCCGGCTTCCAGAAGCTGGTTCAATCACTATATGGGCAATACTGTTGGGGATTTGAAAATTGGCATAATATTGGCAATGTGAATACGATGTCGATGTCAACGTTTTCAAAACGTCGATTTTTCCGCAAAAATATTGATATATTTAACATCGATTTATTGAAGTTTGTTTTTTGAATATCGATGTTTTTTGGGATGTCGAAGTTTCATTTTCGAGTGAAAAAAGTATTATAATAAAAAAAATATATTTTTCGTATCTCAGTAAAATGGATAATATTTCACACCGAATTCACCGAGGATGAAAATTCTGTTAATCTACTTTTCGCTATTATTTTTCTAAGTTTGATTTTAAAATCTCATTATAAATTAATAAACTTTGCTACTGTCAAAGTACACGCCCTCGCACCAACATTAATTACAGGTGTTACAAAATCAGTTTTAAAAACATCAATGATTTGGGGAGACGTATTAATGACATCTATTTTTTAAACATAAATGTCTTGAAATAACCGTTTTGTTGGCGATGTCATAGAGGTAATTAGCAACCGAAGCTACCAACTTTGACTTTGCCATTCGCCGCCAAGGACCGCCAAGGGTCACAATATTTCTTATCTGTTACTAGCACGTTTATTGACAAAGGAGAATTGGAATTGGATTGTTTAATTTTTTTTATTTTTATTTTGAAGAGCAGGTTGTACTTCTGGCCATTATGAAAGGAATGATTGCGAGAGCGTGAATTCATCAGAATCGTTGAAACAAAATTCAAAAATGTAACTGTTTTCTTCTTTCTTGGATAGTCTTTGCCCTTTTATCGGTCATATTTTGAAGAGTTTTTTTTAAATTATTTATTTAAAAATAAAATTACTTCGAAAAGAAGGAAATATTACAGTCTCATACACCCACTTAGGGGTAACTCAATGAAAGATAAATGGAATGAAGTAATATTTTCGTTTTGGAAACAACTCAAAACTTGAATGCACTGTATTCCTTCTTTCATTTCTGCCAGTGACTCAATCGCAAAATCCATTACCCGATTCACTCTGTGTTGCATCTCTCACGAGTGTCCATTTCTATTGGTAAACCTCTCATATTAACAAAAAAAAAGAGTTTGTATTGTTAATTACAAAAAATTGTAATTTTATAAGCAGATTGTATTATTTCCATGATAGAAACTCGTTCATTCGCACAATTTCATAATTGAAATGTCTGTTTGTGCAGGCTGATCTTGGTAGCGGCAAGACGGTTTTCGGTGGGGGCTTCAATGACTGTAACTTGTCGGACATAATGTAGCCTTTTTCTTCATATAATTATTTTCTCTTGTATAAACAAGAATGTTTGGTTGTTTTATTCCGATTTTAGTTTTTGCGTACCCGACCGTCATATCAAGAGAAAAGTTGCTGTCTACATTTCGAACAGTAAACATTATTTGCATCCTCTGCCCCATTCTCTGAAGGTGAATTTCAGCAAAATTGCATATTGAATGAGCATACTTAATATAATTTGCATTATTTAAAGAATCATATGAAATGAGCTTCTTACCTTTATGGTGAATGAAACGAGCAAATAAAAGAATTGCGTGATGTGTGTGTGAGCGTCCTGGAGCGTCTTCGTCAGGTTGGCCGAGCGGTCTAAGGCGCCAGATTTAAGCTCTGGTTCCCGAGAGGGAGCGTGGGTTCGAACCCCACACCTGACAAGGGATTTTTGAAACCGTCGAATACTTTCAGCGTCAGAAAGCAGAGTTTGAGACAAATTTCCCGACAGTTTCTCACACTTTACTTATATGGACATGAAGGGAAATCGAATTAATTTCGAACGTGAATTTGATTTACCTACAAGTTAAATTTTCTTTTCTTTTTTTTCCTCGTAGGGGTGCGCAAAGAGAGGGGCCTTGGCCCTCTTGAAAATTATGAATGAGGCCCCGTAGTCCTACATAATAAATGGTTGTTTCAAGGGCGTTATAACAGTTCTAATGATCGAGCGGCAACAAAAAACCCAAGGGCCATTGGTCTGAGGGCTTTTTGACGTCCGAGATCATTAGAACCGGTGGCCATAACGACCGTGGTACATACAGGATTGTATTTTTTACCTAATTTTTACTATTCATAGTTACTTATTTACTAATTAACTAGTTTTTAAAATGACTCGGTTTTCTATTTCATATTTCCCTCCCATAAGTCCCTCTCATAATTCGGTAAGAGAGTATGCTGGCACTCAACTGTTTTCATATTTCTCTCGTCACCACGTCCTCCTGATCCAGGGAAGTTATGCAGTGTATATCGAACTCCGTATCGAAGCCAATAACAAACAATAACGTATCAGTAATTTTTTTTCAGAAATGTGATAAATTGCTTATTTGTTCCCTTTAAGCTAACAATTTGGGAATTGGTATACGACTTTCAGGGAAGACGTTCTCTGAAGGATCTAGCAATCTTGTAAATAGTTCAACTAAAAAACCAATTTTATTACTGGTGACCACTTGTAGGAAAATCTGGAACAATCATGCAAGTTCATTAGTACGGAAAAGCAAGGGGAAAAAACCAGGGAATTTTGTTAGAAGTCAAGAATTTTTAATTTTTTCATTTTTAATTATAGAAGATAATTATGCTTCAAATCGGGAAAATTAAAAGTACGTCCAGAAGTTTGCTGGTATTTTACAACTGAATTTGATGACAGAGACAGTCTCACGCTCTTCCTCGCCTATCGACCTTCTCGGAATGGTCTCGAAATCGCCGAGATTCTCAGGGCTCTACAACGCAGCTGTCCTGTTGACAGCTAATGTGGTGACAGCGGGCCAGGCGGCCGAGTTTAAACACTCCAGATGCCGCAGATCAGTAGGGAGTTTTGCACGCCATAGCGTCAGCACTATCGATCATCAGCGCATGCGCAGATACACTAAAGTGTTGCGAAACTTGAACTGAGCATGTGCAGAAGATCGATAGTGCTTTAACGTTCGAGGGTGCACAAACTCCGTGATATGCGATATGGCTGAGGGAAAGGTTACGCAAGAAATGCCTGCGCGAAGTCATGTAAGATATAAAGCGTTGGAACAGCAACTCATTCTTTGTCGTCTCATTCTCGGTCGTAACTTTGTTTTGTTGTTCATTATTTGATTTGTGTACCAATAAAATTAAACTTGTGACAAAAATAAAAACGTTTTGAAAAGTTTTTTTCAAGAATTGTTTCTGCGAAATGCTAATGTGACGTGGATTTAACTTTCAATTTTTTGGATTAAATTTTATTTATGTTTTAAATTTATATTAATATTAAATTCTTACAATTTAAGTAGTGACATATATTGATATATAATATATACAGACTCTTTTGTCTGAGTTTTATCACATACATCGTTAACTAATTATTTTCCTGTATACAAATGTATATATTGACTAATATACGTACTATAGGGAAAGTTATGTAATGCTGCGGAAAATCGATTTTGAGAATTCAACGTAAATACACGTTTTGGGGTCGCCTGATACCGAAGATGGTGGTTCTTTTCAAAACGTCCGTCTATCCGTGCGTCCGCCGCTCTGTCCGTTTTTGAACAAAACTAACGCCTAAACCATGCGTAGGATTTTTTTCAGATTAAAAAAACCCCTGCTATCTGGCTCGATATAAGCTTTGAGATTTTGAAAAACTTATTTAAAATTTAGGAGTACTGTACATGAAGCTCTCCGGACAATTTCAATGTTTTCTCAAAAACAACTCCAATGTTTTCTTTAAATTTCTTGTAAGAATGAAGTAAAATACACCCATAAATGTGGCATATGCCGAATTTTCACTGTTATTCTATTCAACTCTGAATTTTCTAAAAGTTCAAAAATTTATATTCTTTCCGACGCATTCCTACAACTACAAAATTGAAGATAGATTTTTTTTCAAATGAAATTTGTTGTCCATAAATAGTTCTTACAGTAAGTTCATGTATATTGTTTCGAAAATTTTAATAATTTGCGAGCAATATGCGCAATTTTAAAAAATTACAAAACAAGGTTTTCTCAAATATGGCTCCAATTTTTTTCTTTAAACTTTTGGTAGGTGTAGTGCTAAATGTCCTCTATAAGATGACATAACGCCATATTCTTTTATTGTTTTTTTAAATTACTGAAATGTTTTACTTGAATTCATTAATCTTTATAATAGTGGCAGTTTGTTCACAATATTACATTTATGAGTACACGTGTCTCAAATAATGTTATAAAGTTTTTCGAAAACTCGACCGATGTGTGAAAACTAGGACAAAATTCCGCATTTTCAGAAACGCTCAAACGCCATTTTCTCAAATACGGCTCCAAATTTTTTCTTAAAACTTTTCAAACGGGTAGTTCTAATTACAGTCTTTAATAAGATGTAAAGGTCATTTCGGGGTACTTAAAAAAAGTGTCACAAATGTAATTTTTTGAAAGATCTCTCACAACGTTAATATGCAATTTCCAGCAATTTGTAAGCACAATTGTATTTGTGAGTTAAAGTGCTGTAAATAACTTCAAATAAAGTTTCCGAAAACTTAAATTGTCTGTGAAAAGAGCTTCAAATTTACTGTAGCGCTTAAACCCCAGTTTTTTAATGACTTCAAATTTTTCAAATATTTTTGCAATTAAGGCGAGGTTTTACTGTTCTTTAATAACTGAAAAATTGAGAAAATTTCAAAAACTGTTCTTTGGAGCTGTGATATATGGCAGGTGGCAAATGTATGTGGCAAGTGCGAATAGCTAGCCGAGACCAAAGAAAATAGAAAACTACTACGGGAAAGATTCTGTAGCACTACTAATTATACCTTTTAGTATTCCTATATTTCGCTCCAAATGCAGTATAAGCAAATGAGATCGTAATCAAGACAAAGCAAACATTTCCTTCCACGGAGGGATTAAACTTGTTCAAAAATGTAATGATAGTATCATGCGTGTCACAGTATGCCCAATTTAAAGAATAGAGATAATATCCAAAATATTTAACAGAATTCCAATTTAAATTCCAAAATATAGACTTATTGAACTGTTTAACCTTTGGGATCAAAGTCTTGGGTATTATAGAAGAGGATATGAGGAATAAGTCTACAATAGGATTAAGTCCTCATCACTTATTTCGAAAACGAACTGTTAAGTTAAAATAAATGTTGATTGAGTGAATAAGCTTTTAGAAACAACTCCAGCAGTGTCTGGTACAGATATGTCACTTTCTCTATCTATAAAGGTTAAGATTGTAGGCGTGAAAAGTAAAATACTGGTTCCTGAAAAGTTCTTGCATTTTCAATATTCGTATTCATTTACATAAGCCATACGAGGGACAGATAGAATCTGGGGTCGTCTATAGAAGACTCATTATTTATATTGATATTTTATGGCTGGCCAAAAAAAACTGTAATACATTTGGGATATGTACGTTTCATACATGTATTATTTTAGACAATATAATAGTAGTTCATCTAGGTTTATAATTTCCTTAAGAGCAGGGAATAAGGACACTAACTTTGTATTGAGGAATGCATCGATTATCGATCGAACATTTTTATATGTCGCCTTTCATTTGTTGACAATTGTCTTCATTATATTGATTCTGAGCGAAGAATTTGAAGAAAAATCGTAATAATATCTCTTACAGTGGACTTATTTGTGGTTCGCCAAAATAACTTCTACTATCTGACAACGCAAAATTATCTGTGGGGTAAGGATTTGATACGTTGAACATATAATCCAGATTTTTTCGCGTTTCAGGGAGTATATGTTCTCTGGAGATAGTATGATGTTAAGACTGAAAGTGTGTATTTGCGTTGTGTTTGTGGTTATTACGGAAGGATTTGCATCAAAGTTAAATTGTGAAGTTTGTATTAACGTTATTGAGAAATTTAGTAAAAAATTGGATTCTGATGCAAGGACAAATCCACAAAAGATTGAAAATGAGTTCAAGAAATTCTGTTTAAATTCCAAAGGTAAAGAAAACAGCTTCTGCTATTATTTGGGAGGTCTGGACACCTCCGCAACGGGAATACTTGGGGAACTCTCAAAACCATTGTCGTGGTCTATGCCTGCTGAAAAAATTTGCGAAAGGTTGAAGAAAAAAGATAACCAGATATGTGATTTACGTTATGACAAAATTATAGATTTAAACAAAGTTGATACTAGAAAATTGCCGGTGAAAGATTTGAAGAAAATTCTGAATGACTGGGATGAAACCTGCCATGCCTGCATTGAGAAATCGGATTATGTAAGAAGAATAGAGGAACTTAAACCTCTTTACTTGAATAAAGAGCTTTAAATTGTTTCAAAATTTTTCATCAACATTACCATGTTTGTTTTAATACAAGTGAATAAGTTACAAATCATATTGTCGATGTTATGTTTTTTTTAATGTAAGTGAATAAGTTACAAATATAATCGTCGGTGTATTGTAAATTGACACATGCATTGAATGAATTAATAAAATATTCGAAAATTTTATTTACAATTTTGTTATTGACTCGTTCTTGATCACCTCATTTCATACGAGTCCACGACAAAAATATAGATGAATTATTGAAATCACATTGGCGGCTTATTTTACTACCCATATTTCAATGCAAGTGCTTTCCGTAATATTTGTAATTCATATGTTTTCTATGAGAATTCAAAATCATTGAGCGGCTTGAAACACTAATTAATTGACGCTTAGTTCGTGAAACACAAAAGCTTCTGTAGATTGTCATTATATGAAATTGATATTTTGTAGTGAACAGTCAATGCAAATTGGTTCAAAAGGTATATTCACACAAAAGGAAAGGAAATAACATTTTATGTCCGCGGGTAAAAAGGGATTACTCCATATTTGCGATATTTTAAATAATGATATTTTTACTTGAGGAATAAATAGATTTTACCAAGAGCAGATTTAGTGTCTGCGAGTGCCTTTACAATTCTTTGTGCAAAAGAGGGAGAGAGATGGAGAAAGAGGGAGATGGAGAACAGGACGTCTGCCGGGTTGCGCTAGTATTTTATATGCAAACACAACTCGTTTTTCCAACGCTATTTACATTGCACATCAGCTACTTTTGCGCTCAACTAACCGACCGGGCGTGCCCCGCCATCTCTTGGACCTCCCAAACAGAGTGCAGTGCATCCGTCGTTTTGGTCGTGAGGGGTGGGCGGGCCCTTATCCGAAATTCTCGCACTCGAGAAGCGCAAGGTCAATGGAGCAGCGCGCCCCTATTTCTGTGCTGTCGGGGAGATAGCGGAGCGCCCGGGGAGATGCGACGGGAGGCGCTCTTCTGCACACGCAGCGCTTTCGAACCTTCCCCCTCCCCCTTGCGCTCGTCGTTTTCGACATGGAGGCGTCGCCACAGCATGGGAATAGTGTTTCAAAAACTTAACGGCTTAAAATTTCGTATTGAACTCTAATCTTGTGTGCTGACCAACATGTAAACTCTCCTCCGCAGAAAGCCCATGAAGAAGCGCTAATTTACTAACTGACAAAAAGTAGCAAACTCACCATGATCACCAGCCTTGTAAAGGGTTTGACCAAATTATTTCGGGCATCCACCAAACGGATAGGCGTGATCGGAGAGTAATTTGTGTTGGAAATTTTGATATTTCCTATTATTTTCGTTCTACCTTTTCAATTCATTGTAGATGATAGATGTAAAACATCTCGCCCCAAAAAAACCATAATTTCAGTCAGAAGGAATAAAAATATGACTTAAAAATCAACTCTAAACTAATTACATTGCAGAAAATCCCTATTTAAAGAAAAGTAGTGTCATAATAAAAAAAACATTCTTTGAAAAGCAACAGCGAAAGAAGCAGATCTTAAATTCCCCTGGAAGAAATAACGTTGTAGTGCTGTGGCGTAGTGACCAGTGTCAGAACCGCTACATTCTTGCCTCTCGTGCATTCGGGCTCGAACACCTGCGCTAAAGGGTTTGCGTGGAAAATGAACAACTGCGTATCCCTGTGTCTCATTCACAATAAGCACTCTGAAAATAATTGAAACACATTCACGTAATTCTGTGTCAAATTACAGACTCTCTAATAGGCTACTAATTTAATAGAAAAGAAACTTTCACGTCAGTGTTCGCAAAATGCTATGTTTAGAAAGAGTTTTTTTTAAAGAAAATCGGACATTTAGCATTGATTTGCAAAAAACTTCACAGAATTTAGATGGCCGCAAACTCTTAAAAACCAGTATACATCAATGTAAGTAAGCAGTCAATTTACATTTTTTTTTTCATTTCTGTTGAATGCTTATTCTTGATTTGAGTATTGTTACATGATTGAATTAATAATAATAATAATAATAATAATAATAATAATAATAATATTTGCAGAATTCTAATCTCCATTTTCATGAATTTTCGAATTTCAGAAATTAAAGTAGTGGTATTTACAATTATGTTGGTGTCTCGTATATGCCAAAAATGAACTCACGCTTCAACTGCGTGTGTTCTTGGCCACCGAGGATATGTTCGTCGACTTTACTTTTCGCCACTGCCCGCCGGGCGGGAAGCGGCAATGCGGTGGCGGCGGTGTGGCACTGAGCATTAAGCAGCGCCTCCGCAAAAAGCTGTCTTGTGCTGTTGCCGCGCGCTTCCGAAGATTGATTCCTTCCCCTCTCGCCTCCCAATACCGCTCCCCCCCCGCCCGCTCACTAGACACCCGCCCTCTGACCAATCCACACGGCCGCGCCTGCCCACCCATAACCCGCCCACCCCGCTCCGCCCCACCATCGGCGCCCACCCGCCCGCCCATTCCGCCCGCCCGCCCGCCTCGCCCCGCCCCCGCTCGCCCGCCGCTCGCCCGCCCGCCTCGCCCGCACCGCTCGCCCGCCCGCTCGCCCGCCCGCTCGCCCGCCCGCCCAGCCGCCCGCCTGCCTGCCCCCGCCCCCGCCCGCCCGCCCTATTAGCCGTTTACCTATTAGCTGATTCCACAGCTAACGATGTTTCTTGTCTCCAGACACCTGATCGGCATAGGTGATTCAGGGCATCACTTGATGTCACCGCAATGCTTCTGACCGGGAGGTATTAAAGTTCCACTTCTGACGGTAGCTACATATCTAGATCGAATTTAGTCGCTGTCTGGTTTCGGCTTCTAGTGGTCGGCTGCTCTGGTCGGCAGTTTTCCGTGTTTTTCCGAGCAATTACATATTTTGTCATAAATATATATGTTTACGTATTTTACCTACATACTTCGTAAAATTTTATTAGTATTTTTAATAGCATTTTAAACGTCGATATGGAACATTTCAAATTCGAGTTTGCCATTTATGTTACTGGAATCGTCGTTCTTACAAAACAGTGTAAAACTACTTCGCTTCTATGACCGTTGAACCTTCGCCGTAAATTGTCAAATTCATTTTCCCCCCTCCCTCCCCCTTGGCACAAAGTGCCCTTCCTACCGTGCGAAGCCTCAAACATGGGGGGAATTCCATTTCTGGGCACTCTTTCGCATTACATTATTTCACTCACAAAAGATATAATTTACAAATGAATAAAGTATATGAGGAGAATGAAATTATGAGTATGAATAATACTTTCAATAAATAAAATTGATTTTATGTTGAATCATTTACAGATTTGCCTGATCGATTGGAGAACCTCTGTCAAAATGTTGTATTACTCAGTTGTATTCTCAAAATTGTCAGGGTAAAAGAGGTAAATTAGAGATTGAACTAACACTGAAATAAAATGTTTCATTGCGTAATGCTTCGGAACCCCTTTCAAACTTTTGAAGGCCACACCCCCCCCCCCCCGTGCTCTCTTCCCTAGCCGAACACGTTTGGTCAGAAAAACCTGTCAAGAAGGTTGTGCCATTTGATTCAATATGGTTTTTGAGTATCGATGCAAACAATTTGTATCGTTAAGCTAATGTTTTCCACAAGAATCGATACTTATTTATAGATTGGTATTGATATGTGATGTATAAAAGATATCTTGGTAAACTTACTTTAGCTTTATAAACGTTTTTTACTTTCGTCGACTTTATTATTACAATTAATTGTTTTGACAGAATTCGCATTTATATTTGGCTTAACATTTCACTTCTACGGAAGATCAGAGATTAATATACGTTTTTCCTGAATCATAGTAGGCTTAGCGATGAGCAGAATGAATTGCACAAAAGGGAGGTATGGCTGCGTATGAAGTGATTATATAACTGTTACTGTGGTATTTGGCCGTTATCTCAACGATGGTGACCCCAACAATTTATCCGCCGCTTTATTGTGATTTATTGTGTGACAATTGGGCATAACATGAAAATGGATGAGTGACTCAAAAAAGTTGTATGTACTTTGACAACGTTGTAAAAAGTACGGAGAGCTGCACGTACTTCAGGGGGCATTGCAAAGCAGTCTTTTTCCATCGTGATGCATGTAAACGTACTTGCTTGACATTGTGCTTTTCTCTATTTGAGCCACTTATCATTCGCATCTGACAAATCATGTGTCAGCTTTATTTCTCGGGAGAGTCAAATGATTAGGAATTTCAAGTTCTGGAAAGTTTATCAATTCCATAATTAATAAAAACTTCTGACATGCGGATTTTCTTTTCAATCTTACCCATTGGGCTGATTTGTTGAGAAGGAAAATAAGGCGATACGGAAAAGTTACTTTCGCACAAAGGAGTTTTCGGACGCCATTACGCATCCCAAATAAAACAGACATGTCCTTTGTTTATCAACATCCAGCGGCATCTCTCTTCTCCGACTGACCGCACTTCAACTGCGAAATGGATAGGGATGGGGCGAATGCATTTTCGGGAGAAGGACTCTAGAATTAAAAGCATCCTTTACATTTAATTTGTGCATTCACAGCCAGAAATCTTTTGAAAGTTGTCGTGCTATTGTTAATTATCATCAAAGTTTTAGCTGTAAACCTAATTTAGAGCAGACTTGAAAACACATGTTGGCTATTAATTAACATCGTAGCCATTAATTAATTAATTTTCTTTTTGTGGTGCAAAATTCGTCGATATGGTGCTTAAATGTTGCCACTACCGTACGCAAGTGGCCATAAATTAAGGAACTTCTTTTGCAGGAATAGTTTATCAAAATGTTGCGTAAATGCTTCTTCTTTGCCCAAAGCTTGAAAATAGTTTGCATGCTGAAAATAGACGACATGAGAGGAATTGCTTTACTTTCCTTTCGAAGAAAAGAACGTGAGTTAAGTTTTTTTGCTGTCAAAATTCCTGCGACTTCGATCGGATTTGAAACCACGAAATAAAAGATCAGCTATAACTGAAATCGCTTTATAGCTAGTATTTATCTTTAAATTCCACATTAACCATGTGC